TGTAAGCACAGATACATATACATATATATATTTATATACATATATGTGCATGTAAAGTTCTGTATGCAGCAGCTCGACTGTTTGCCTTTAGTCAGCTTTATAGTATATTTTGCATAGCTTTACAATCTTATCTAGGGCATAAGCTTCATTAAAAATGCGAAATAAAAGTGCAGCCAGCTGGGAAAATTGTTATTACGACTCCATTTTCGGGATGCAAGATAGAAACTCAACCAAAAAAAAAGAAGAAAAAAGGGTTAAACTCGAACCCAGCCGCAGCTAATCAACGAAAATAAACAAGAATATAAGTATATGTGTATATTCAAATGTGTTTATGTGGCCTGTTATCAGCCCCTCTAAATTTCACTGACGTGGAGCTTATCATTAGCTCTTCGCCGGCGCTATAAATAAGCCGCATGAATAGCAGGCCAACATTATTGCTACCAAGCACATTATGCAGACGCTTTCACAATGGCCCGGCAATTGTAACAGCTGGTAATCATTTTAATAAACACACACACACACACACATAAACACATCAAAATCAAGTATGTGTGTGTATTATAATCCAATATATTAGAAAAATATATATATATATATATAAACACTCACATTCAGCCCATAGAAACTACGAGAACAGAGCACGGACAAACAAAAAGACAAGAAAGAATCTTTAACAAATTTCATGCATGACAAACGTACTTACAAAGCAGCTCGTTTGTAAGTAGTTAGCGGTTTGAACAGTTATGTTTGTATTGCCCAAGATGCAATATACCCCTCACCCGATCTTAGCCTGCACCAAAACGACGTTTAACCTTTAAAAGCCTTATAATATGTATACTGTAGGTATATTATGTATACATTATTATTATTATTATATCATATATTCACTTTATAGGCTCGAAGTCGAAAAATACTTCTCAAACAACGCACATGCTAGCCATGCGTCTTTAATCTTAACAACATTTAAGCAATTTTGGGACATAAATTATTACAAAAAGTAATTAAAAGCGGTTAAAAAAAAACGGCAATTCGATTTTAAGTAATAAAAATGGGCAATTTTACAGTTTACATTTGCATACTGCGCAATATTGCGTTGAGAACACAACGTAAACAACATTGTTTTTGGGAGATTTTCGAAAAAATTTATTGAATTCGCAAATCATTTAGCTATAAAATCGGCTCACACATGCATATAGTATGTACATACATATATAGTATGAGTATTTATATTTTTGCACGGAATTAACCCGATGAGTCTATGAATCACACAAATTTACGCGAATATGATATAGTATCTGCCCACGCATTGCCATTTCGTTATAATAGAGCTTTTTTTCGAACGGTCATTGATATCGAGTAAATCGAGTATAACACACGAGTAGTTCGTTTCGTCTGGGAACTTTTGTAGAACAGTCCGTTTGGCTTTTGTCTAGGCATAGGTCAGGGTTTCAATTAGAACAACAACAGCAAAAGGAACAATGAGAAAATAAGAAACAATAGCAAACAGTCAAAAGTCGGCACACATATTGCTTTTGCTTTTGCTTTGCTCTCTTTTTTTTGTTTTGACTCAGCTTTTGCCTAAGCTTCTACATATGTAATTTGTTTTAGTTGCACTCTATCTACTCTTTCTCTCTCCCTCTTACTCTTTGCCAAAAAATATAACGGCTATAAGTCACGCTAATAATACTTCATTTGAATATCGCTTTACTCTCGAAAATACCCTTATCTCTATAGAGTACAAGAAAGTCGTATCCTTTTGAGCACGAAATCGGAATACTATAAGAAAAAGCTGACACAATCGCTCGAAAACTATTTTGAGTTGATTTTAATATGGCAAAACCTTTAATTGCCAAAAATAAAATACATTGTCATCAATACAATATGCCCTATTCAAAATTTAATATTTGTTATAGGCAATATTTATGTTATTCCTGGAATATTTTATATGAAAATTAATTAATAATTTAGATAAATAACTTTAGATAAAAGCTTAGTGAAAAATGCACATATCTGAAGATTCTTATTTTTAATCAAACTTGGTTATCATAAGTTTTTTCATTAATTTATTGCTATTTTTATGTGAGTTGATTTCCCGATTCCCATTTTGCCAAAAACTTTTACTAGTTGATTATATTTATAAGTCTGCCATAGAAACAATTGGTCGAAAATCGAAATCGAAAAGGGTATTTAATTTTCTGCAACCCAAAGAGAACTCTTCATTTACCAAGCTTCTAGAGTATCTCGGCTTCGTTGTAGTCGAGTCAACTTTGTATGCATATATATACATATATATATATATACTATATATTTTCCGATTTGTATCTGTCGTATGTTTTGTTTTTGCCGTGTGCTCTTGACTCCAAGTTTGCGAACCGCTCGAAATGAAAATCAGTTTACTTCGCGTATTCGTTTGGGCAAAAGCTCCATTTAATATATACTCATAAATCTGGGCAACCGGAGAAAAAACCCTTCTGGGCATTATGCAATGGTCGCGAGTGGCGAGTAGCGAGTGGCCGGTCGCAGGGGCCGTCGCAATTTGTGTCGGTTAACACTTTTGTAAAAATCAATTGAAAGACGGGCAATGGCCAAATGGCAAAGTGCCCGAAATAGCCAGAAGTCGAAGAAAATACAAAACAAAACGCAGCAATTAATAAGCGCACAATTCGGTCAATAAAATCAACAACAAAAGCCAAAATATTTGCAGCCAAAAATAAACACGGCAACAACAACGACAGCAACAACACATTAACGAATGGACTATTTCATATGTATATCTATAGATATATATAGATATCTTCGTTATGGTTGAGAAACCCTGACTTTTAAATAAATGGCTTGAGAGAAACGTAAATGTGAATTGCTTACAACTCAATTCACCTCTAACAGAGTTTAACTGACTTATGAGATCCTCTGACTGCGTAGATCTCAGAGAATTAGAGCTAGAGACTGCAAATTAGGCTTGTTATCGATAAATATCGATTATTTTGGGCATACATCGATGCGTATTGGAGCTAGAAATTCCAAATTTGGTATGTAGGCTCTTATAAAGTAAAGAGGCAAAAGGAATAGTTGAGCTTTTGGATAACTCGCCCGTTTCTATCGGCATATACACACTTTTGTTGCCATATCTTAGAGCTGAATATAAAATATAGATCGGAGTATAAGCACCTGCGTTACTCAAGAATGTATTCACAATTGTAGAGCTAAGGGACGGAAGAAGTTCAGCTGCTGTTTATATGGGGTATACATTAGTCGGATACTCTCGACAAGAACACTTGCTTATTGTCGTAAGAATTGTAAAGATGTTTACATTTCACAGGAATTCATAACCTTGTTTTTCTTTGCCAATCAGATTTGATTAACATTCTTCTCACGCCCTTGACAGTAGTTTAATTGAGTCTCTTATCCAACAGAATAATCCTTTTATACGCCATTGATGGCGGAAGGGGGCGAATAAACTGCGATTACTTGCAAATTCAACTGCATATTTGTTTAACTTATAGAGCGATCATTTAAAGCACAATATGGTGTAGCACAGTCGGCTGCTTTTTGTCATTTATATGCTAATTTTGATAGACTTGTTGTCATTTACAAATTTGACTGCCGGGCACCGTCGCCATACGCCCAGCTCCCACCACAATGGACGTCAGTGTTGTTTGGGCCATTAGCATTGATTGCCAGACGAGTGCCGCTAAGTGCCCCGATGCCGTAATCAGGCCGACGACGGCAAGACCCTCGCCAATTTGTAAGGGAAAATTACCAGCACTCGAAACACTAGATATAAGCTCTTCGTCGTACAACTCTTGGGATCCAGTAGCTAAAGTAGCTGTACATCAGCTATCTAGCAGTTATTTAAAACTGGCCATTTCAAGGATGCAATCTAGTTAATATGTTCTATAATTGATATGATTGATAGCTTATCGATATCTGCGACCTCAATCTTGTTTTGATATGTTCTAGAATCGATAGATAAGATTGCTTATCGATATCTTTAATGATAACAATGAATTATAATCTTTTGAGATGTTTAAACATCCCGATTCTATATAGCTTATGGGCATTGTGATTGCTTTCCCGATAAATAAGTGACGATTTGTTATCGATACATTTCAAAAAAAAACTTTAGATTGATGCTGATATCGATTTTGTTTTATTTAATTACGAATTTCTTAAACTTTAACAAAGTGACCCGCATATGTGATTAAAAAATTAAAAATTGTAAAATTGTCGATTTATAGCTCATATATATGCTGTGTGTGTCGCGTATCCACAACATATCCTTAGCTTTATTTAGCCATTAAAACTCCAGATAACGTGATTCATTTCAAGCTTTAACTGAACTAATATGCCCCACAAAAGTACTTGTAGAGCAACATATTGCGCACGACCAGCGATTTCTTGGTACCGCTTTTCTCTGCTGGATAACCCCAATATACAAACATATATATACCTGCATATATGTACATATATACAAATTTAAATATATACACACTCTGTTGATCCAACAAATAAGATGCATTTAACAATTTTAGCGTAAGCTTTTCTGCTGAGAATCGCAGAGAGCGCTGAGAGGGCGCACGACTAAACGTCTAATGAGCGAAAGCTCCGCATTGCACTTGGCTCTCAATTGCCAAATAGCTAACTTTAGCCGATGTATAAACTTTGGATGAAAACATCTGGCAGTGAACGACAACTGCCACACATTTGACAGGGGCGAAAACAATGAACGTATTCGCAGTAAAAATTAGCGCGTAGATGTGCATATTGCGTTGCGGCCCAAAGCACAAAACAGAAACGGAATTAGAAAAACAGAAATCGGCTCACTGATATATGACCATATACATATAAATCGATAACGTAAACCTTAACCGGTCAACCAAAACTTCGAGAGTTGCCAGAGGGTTAGAAAAAGAGAGTGAGAGAGAGAGGCAGAGTGTGAGTGTGTGTGTGAGAGAAAAAGCAAAATCAAATTTATTACATAAAATTTTTCTTATTTTTTGGACGAAACATTGAAAACCTGTGTAAATGCTAGCCAAATTCTCTGTAACGTAACAGAAGCTTCCAAAGCGGTTGGGGGCACGCTGCATATTAACGGAGGCGCCACAAAATCTGTCGCCATCCGAGAGACAAGGCATTAACCGTTAAAGTGCTGCACTGCTGGCGTTGTGTGATCTGTGGCAAGAGTTTGCTATAGAACAAAATGGCCTATCGCGGCATTATAAGCAATACGGACGATGCTGACCAAAATGACCCGGACACCGATTCCCTTGACGATGTGCTGACCGATCCCAGCAAGGATGCGATTGCCACTCTGCCGCATCGCACCAAGCTAACATCTCCAGCTGCGACAGGTGCTGCAGCAGCAGCTGGGGTGTCGCATGCCGATAGCCCCATTGCATTCCACCCGCCGATGTCCACCAAGCTCTCCAAAATCAATAAGATGAGGCCCAACCAGCCGGTGGCGCTCAAATGTAATTGTAAGTGTGACCAAACTCAATGCAAGAAACCAAAACACAAACTCTGCTCTGGTTTGGTATTTATGTATTTATTTATGTTTTTTGTTTCTGCCACTTGCTCGCACGACGTGCACACCCTGCAGCAACAAGAAATTTTCACACACGCACACACACATACATACATACGCAGAGCAGCAGCAACACCCGTTTGATAACGGTGCATATGCAACACTGCACTACAAGCAATTCGAACTTGTTCAACTGAGTTTCGCTCAGCGAGTCCACAGGTTGGGAATTATAACGCATTTCATGCATTTCATTTTGAATCATTTAAATTTGAAGTTATTCAATCGAATATGCTCTCATTTGGGGTATTATCATTTTGTCACGAAATGTGTAACACTTTGAAGAAAATATTTCGAAGCCCTTTGTAAATATTTGAAGCTATTGATTGGCACAGCGCGCACTTTCAGCTCTTCATCATTTAGGTGTCAAAGGCACAATCGGCCAAGATCTAAGTTCAGTTATTATTTTTATTCTATTTTTACAAAAATCTTTAGCAAACTTGTCATATAATTAATTAATCTCATTAGTCAATCTATTAACAAAACAACAGTGTAATTTATGATTGATAGTAGATTTATTGTATTTTCTTAATATTCACCATTAAGAATACGATTTCAAGCCTTTGGAATCGGGTTTAGAGCCTGTTACCTCTCTACTCTTTTCTACTTTAACTCGCCATGATCTTCTGCCATAAGCTGTATACAGTCAACTTTCGCAGAGTAGAACTCTTTATAACAGACCTTATTCCCAGGAAATCTAAAAGCTCCTTTTTCGAAAGTTCTTTAGGAAAAGTAAATAATTAAAAATAGATTTTAATATATGCGCAATACTAATTGCATAGATTATTTTAATCGAGAGCCTACTGCATACTATATACGTATATAGATTCGCTATCTCAAATTCGAATAATTTAAAAACTTGTCAATTTGTAAACACAATGACCATCTAGTCCAGTGTAGAATGTGTAGCGCTCAGCTCAAAGAGCGAACAAGAAAGTTGATGCATGTCATCTCTCATCTCCCGAGCAACTATCACCTCGACTCGGCTCAACTCGGCTTAACTCGAGGTGACACCATCTCCATCTCCATGGTCATAATCTGAAGCAGCGGGATGCCGCCAGTGTGTGGGTTGTTTTGGGCACGTCTGGACTGCTATTGATTTCCAATATGTAAACAGTCTATGCTCGCTTTCTCTACACTTTACTGAGGGGTCGCATTACTTTCTCGTGTGATTTGTAATGCCAGCTGAATATATATCCTAAATGCATTTCTGTGCTGTATAATTATATTTATATTTAATTATAAATATATAGTTATATATATTTCGAATTTTATAAATATATTGTTTAATTATAAAAATGAAATCTGATATGACAGAAACTTGATCTGTGATCGATTAACGAACCTGATAGACAGACATGACCAGATTTAATGGGTTTCTAAGGCTAATCAACACCATATATACAAATATTTATAAATAAAATATTAATAGAAATATATAAAATAAATATGTAACAGTATATATCTAACTGGCTCGCACAGTAAATGGAAACAGCCCCAATAAATTCTATTTACTATTCGAATCACCTTGATCTTTCGTATACATTGAACATTTTAATGAAACAATTTATGTTTAAATTTATTATTATTATTGCCCGTTCTACTGAAAATATTGCCTATCGTATTATTTTCATATCGAAATATCGGGCTACATTTGAGCTCTGCCCAAAATTGGCATACACTAAATTTGGGTATTCCTCGAAAAGTTCTTATTTTGAATCACACCAATTTCAGATCAGCTGTTTTGCTGTGTAACTAGTTTGGTTTCAGGCAAGACTCAAAGTAGAATTTAAATTAGAATTCCAGACTCAAAGCGATTTGGTTCAAAACAAGCCCAAAACAGATTTAGATATACTAGATGCAAAAACATAGATACAGAGATTCATAATTAATAAAGATCAGATGTAAGCACTTTTCCCAATTGCACAATAATTCACAACCAATTTTGAGCAGTGCATAGCACAGAGCACACTTTGTTTTTGGCAGTGTATTGAAGATTCATTGTGAATTTGTTATTTGATTCACGCTATCGCCGCCAGCTATTTGAGCTGCCTTTCGCACTTGTTGTTTTCGGGCTGACTCTGCAGTCGATTCGTTTTCAAAAATTTGTATAATCGTGCATCTCAGACTCGTAAATTGTGTTGTTTTTTTTTTGAAAAAACAAAAACAAAAACAAAAACAAAAAAGGAAAACAGCAACAACAACTGAGCCGGCCGCTCGGAGCAGCGTGTCTCAATTGGCTCTCCAGGTATTGCCGCGACTCGTAGTCGTCGCAGTTCAGTTTCAGGTCTCGAGTCATTAAAGCGCCAGCGCTCGTCCAGGCTACAAGTGTGCTCCACAGCCCGAGCGGGTACTTCGAATAGGCTTTAAGGAGCCATCCCTTTGACACCACCGGGTACAGTCAGCCCAGGCATGAACTTCAATCGAATGGACAGTGCACATCGTCTGCGCGTCGATGTCAAGCTCTTTGGGGGCAATGTCATGGATCCGGCGGGCATCAATAATAAAACCATTGACCCAGAGCTTGAGACGATAGCGCCGATTTGTAGGTTGACAAAACAAATCTATAAAAAAATATACACCCATATAGAACTTAAGTGCAATCCACACATACAAATATATACATATATGTAGAAAAACAATATTTATTTGGCATCAATTAAATGTCAATTTATTCTATATTACAGGCGATTTAACCGATCCAGTTGATAATGATAAGACCGATGCTGATAATGAGCTAACTAATGAGATTTCGGCTCCATATGAAGTGCCTCAGTTTCCCATTGAACAGATTGAGAAGAAATTACAAATACAGCGCATACTCAATGAAAAGTAAGTACAATCTTAAGTATAACTAATTATTGGAAAGAATTTGGAACATTATAAGTGTATTAATCTTAGCCTGATGGAGTAATGAGATTATAGTAGGAGGCATAAATCAAATAAATATTAACCTGTCAACAGAAAGTTGAGATAAAAGTCGAATAGAGTTAAAATAGAGTTCGCACTAGGAAACACATATATCTAGAACGTATTATAGACCTCATAAAGAGCACATGGAGTAAGATATAGTTCAATTATAACGTAGCTTACCGATGTGCCAAAAGTTTTCTAGGTTTCCCGGGTCTATTTGCTAATCCAGCCATTCCCACTACCCTTTCTAAGTATATATAGCATCGTACAGAAACAACGACAAAAACCACATGCTTTTTAATTAAAACCCCTTGCAGCGGTTATTTTAAATATCTCATGAATTTTGTTACACATCTAGGAGTTCATAATGTCAGTCCAGCCTGTTCCCATGCAAGCTAGACAAAGATTGATAGGGATTCAAATTACTATATCAAATATCTGCTATAGGAACCAAGTCTCAAAATTTGAGTTGTATGAAAAACTTGTTTATTTATGAACTCATTTTGAGCCAAGTTGCAATTTGATATACATATGCTGCTTGCAGTCATCGGAATATGTGTTGTCGTAGTGGACCATCTATTTAGGCGGGGCTCGAATCCATTTATTGTCTTAGCCTCGTTCGGGGTTCGAATCCTCCTGTTGCCTTAGCCTAATCTATATATAGTTAACCGTGCTATTCAAAAGGTTCGCTTAACAGCTTATAGGAACCTCCGTTATATCAGATAACTATACGTCGTATATTGAACTGTCCGGTAGGGTATTTAATCTTCCGTCAGGTAGAAGAGCACTTATCAAGTTCACATTGTTTTGGGGGACCATCACTAATCCTAGCGGCTAGACGAGCACTTGGTCATGGGCAACAGGGTTGGTTAGTGCATTGGGAATAGAAAATCGGGGATAGGGGATAGCGGCTAGGGGCTAGAGCTGAGGTGCTGCGAGCGGGTCATGTGGGCCAAACAGGTGTGGGCAAAGCATAGACGAAAACAAGGTTGAACACGTTTTGATTTTGAATGGGACTGCATTAGGTGCTGGCCAGCAACACGAGCGCGTCGCGAACGCGGCTTATGACATAATGATGAAACCACCACCAAACCCATCACAACCACCACCACCACCAGCGGGCAGCCGGACAGCCGGGCAGCCGGAGAGCCGGAGAGCCGAGCAGTTGGGCCCACAGTGTGAAGGTACGACAATTTGAATTTTGGATGCCGTCACTTTTAGTACAATTTGTGCATCCATATAACTTGGAGGGCGCGCACACCAGCGCATCGCTGCAAGAAAGCGCAAAAGTCGGACGCGTATCCGGGTGCCGCTTAACCCCTTAACCCGGTTAACATCGCGAGTGCGGTTTGCGTAGGGTTGTAGGCGCCGGGTTCAGGGTTCTAGCTAGCTGTCGCGTTGTCCCAACGACCTACGCTGACATTGCGAACTCGCAATCATCCAGTCATTGGTTTTGTTCGTGTGACACGCCAAAGCGTCAAAAGTTTCGAACTTCGCACTGCCAGTTGAAGTTTGTCGATTGTCTTTTATCACAGATTAGGGCTATCAGCTTTAATGTCGTACATGACCTCAGGAAGCCAACAAAATGATTAATGTTCCTTGGAGCAGGACAACCTCTTAGCCTAGTCAGGGGTGGGAGGAGGGAGGGGGTATTCATAATTTTTGGCAAATAACGCAGAGGCGACCAGCGGGTACGGGACGCCTTCCAACCCTGGCTGCCGCCTGGGTTGCCATCGCGTGCCCAATTGTAAATAATCGAGTGCTGGCTCCATAAATTAATCGCTCAATCGATCATTGGGCCACTGTTAACTTGACCCGAAACGCCATCCGGACGTTGGCCCATTCGCTGAGCTCATTGCTCAGGTGCAACATGTCGTTCGCGGATGATAGCTATAGCTTCTGCCGCCATTACGAGTACCAGCCGGAGGAGGAACAATGGTGCATTCTTGCCGGCGAACCATTAACCAAACTCCTGAATTGCATTTTTCACACTTTCTCTCCCTCTCTCTCTCTCTCTCTCTCTCTCTGTCTTCCGCCCTTCCATAGGCAATCGACAGGTCAGCGTGCGGTGACCATAACATCCAGTCCACGAAATCACAGCAGTTCCGAGTCCGAAGGTCACGTGTCTGCAGAAAAGCGTCTAACCGAAGCGGACATAACCTTTCAGCGTGTGTCCGTGTCGGGCGAGGATACCAGCGGTGTGCCGCTCGAGGATCTGGAGCGCGCATCGACCCTGCTTATCGAGGCGCTAAAGTTACGCTCCCATTATATGGAAATATCAGATCAATCGTTTCCAACGACCACGGCACGCTTCCTCAAGACGGTGCGTCTCAAGGATCGATACAATGATCTGCCTGTTAAATCGGTTTCAGGTAAGTCCAAATCTCAGGCGTCGCTGATATCAGTTGGTCCCGTCGAGAAAGCGGCTATCGCGTCTATGTACTGGCATTCCATGTACTTGGTAGAGAGTTTTGCCAGTGTTGTATAGCACCATGAAGTATATACCAATGTTTGCTGTGTATGCGATGTATAATACAATCGATAGTTTTTATCGTTCATTTTATGTACATAGATAAATTTTAACATGCGCTAGGAACGCGTTAAGCTGTTTACTCTCTTATTTACAGCTAGAACTACCTTGCAACCTACCCCTCTCTCATTCTCTCTCCCCCTCTCTCTCTCTCTATATATTTCTTTTTGATATAAATACAATGGTATATATACTCATATACATATGCGTCTCTTTCTTTTTGTATGTATATCTTGCTCGCTAGTTGCAGCTATATTATTCGTGTCATGTCTTCTATTGCGTTTAGTAAGTTGACCATTTACATATCTACATATATGTATGATTTCTTAAGACCGACCCACTCTCTACGCTCAGGTGTCTTGTTTGTATTGTTTTTTTATTCCTATATTTTTTTTCTCTTATGCTCTGTGTATTTTCATTTCGTTTTTTTTTATCATTTTTGTATAAAGTTTTCTATATATTATTTTTATTTCATTTTTTATAGACATAATTCGCAAACAAAGTATGGCGAGCTATACAGGTAATTCGGCCGCGGCTGTCTCCGTGTTCCTTTGTTGCCTTCCTGCTCTCCCCCTCTCTCTGTCTATCTCTCTCTCTCTCTCTCTCGCTCACACACACAAGCAACCCGTATTATTTTGCTTTTATTTGTTGACTGATCCAATATTTACACACTCATTCATTTGTTGAGCCGCTTTACGCTCTTTTGTTTGTGCTCTTCCGCTCTCCCTCTCTCTCTGTCTGTTTTTGTTTCTGTTCAGTGTGTTTGCCCGCTCTCTTTAGTAACACCCGCGTGCCGTAGCATTTAGCCTTTGTTATAGACACAAGCTGTGCTTAAATATTTGCAATGCTTTGTCTTTTATTGTTATTTGCACTCAATTTTGTGTCGCGCTCTCTCTCTCTCTCTCGCTCTCTCTCTCTCTGTCCAATGTGTTTTGCATTTGTTAACAGTTATTACTTTGCTAACAGCTCTCACTCGCTCTCCGCCTTGCACGCACTTTATCTTCTGCCTTCCTGCAGTAGAGTACATACATACATATATATGTAATTTCGCCTCGTTTAACCCACCTTTAAGACTGTTTTGAACACCTCACCTGAAACACTTTAGTACAAAGTTAAATATGTTATTTCCCTGTGAATATACGTGAACAGGGTAGACGCCATATAATAACCTACATGTATTTGTTTGTACTTACGAAGCTGTATTTTTAAATCAACCTGCTATTTTTCATTATATTTTAAATTAAAATTTTTATATGAATGTCCTATATCATAACCCGCAATGACCTTTAAGGTCGCCAAACTGAGTAAACTTTACTGAACAATTAATTTATATACAAACTTTCACATTATTAAAACTTATCAAACAGTTAGCTGAAAAGTTACTTTATATGCAAGCTTTCACACTTAAAACCTTAAAAACTTTTTAAAAGCAATAATTGTACTTTCCACTTTAAAAAAAAAAATATAACAGCTGACAACCCTGTTCTTCACGCACACGAACACAACTACAACAACACTTTGTACGTTTGTGTGTAGCGTAATTGCAGAAAAAAAAAGTACCGTTAATTTAGTTTTAAATAGTTTGTATAACATTTACCAACACTGCCGCTGATAATCAATTTTAATGCCAATATACCCCCACCAACATATGTATGTATATGCATACATATACATATTTCTTATTGCATAACACACTCATATAACTTGACACCCAAACGTGCAGAGCTCCATTCGATATCATCGCCCCTAAAATCGATAAATGCCTGGGATGTGGAATTCGAGCCCGATGAAGATTATTTTATCAAGCCAGTGAATGGCGTCTTTCACATTTACAATGATAAGGTAAGCTGGCGAAATGCCAAAAAGGATTCATTCATATACTAAGCATATATTTCCATTTTTCAGGAGTGCACCAGCGAGCTGCAGTTTACGTATCCGGATATGAACCAGTTCGTGAATGACATGCAGGTCATGTGTAATATGATTGCCGATGGACCATTGTAAGTATATTATACATATATCTATCCGATCAGCTTTATACTTACTATGTTCAAAGATCTTTATGAAAATTCATTTAAACATGTTTCGCGCCTTTCGCAAATCCACCGCCTTGCATGGAAATTAGGGCCCAAGAGGTAAATGGGCAGAAATCCTAGTTAAGTCCGATCGAACTTCAATTCTGGCTACAAAGTTATATATTTTAAATGAATGGGTAAAAAATTGCTCATTTATATTCAACGTGATTCACTGATTGCGAAAAATCCACTACGCTGAGTGGATTTAGAAGTTCCCGGGCGGCAAAGCCTGGTGTATATACATACTATGTACATGTTATTACACATTAATAAAATTTCTGTTATTTTTCCTATTTTTTAGAAAATCATTTTGCTATCGTCGCCTTTGCTATTTGTCCTCCAAGTACCAGATGCATGTGCTGCTCAATGAGCTGCGCGAGCTGGCCGCCCAGAAGGCGGTGCCGCATCGTGACTTTTACAACACTAGAAAAGTGGATACCCATATACATGCAGCCTCTTGTATGAATCAAAAGCATTTGCTGCGCTTCATCAAGAAGACGCTGAAGAATAATGCCAGCGAGGTGGTCACCCACACAAATGGACAGCCGATGACATTGGCCCAGGTGTTCCAATCGATGAACCTGACCACATACGATCTGACCGTTGATATGCTGGATGTCCATGCCGATCGTAATACGTTCCATCGTTTTGATAAATTCAATTCCAAATATAATCCCATTGGTGAATCGCGTCTCCGGGAAGTCTTCCTCAAGACGGACAATTATTTGAATGGCAAATACTTTGCACAAATTATAAAGGTAAGTCAAAGCCAGGTCTGCGAACCCCAAAAAGCCATGTCAGTGGGTCGATTCAGGTTTCAGATGTCGGTTCGCCTGTTGCTTGGTTTGCTTTTGGGCTTCGAACTGGTTTAAAAATGTATATATAAAGTTCTATCCTTACTCAAATTCCCTTTACTCCTTAAGGAGGTGGCCTTTGATCTGGAGGAATCCAAGTATCAAAATGCAGAACTTCGTCTCTCCATCTACGGCAAGTCGCCCGATGAGTGGAATAAACTAGCCAAATGGGCCATCGACAATAATGTCTACAGCTCGAATATACGCTGGTTAATACAAATACCGAGGCTCTTCGATATATTCAAGTCCAACAAGATGATGACGTCATTCCAGGAGATTATCAATAACATTTTTCTACCCTTGTTCGAGGCAACGAATAAGCCAAGCGAGAATCCCAACTTGCATCGCTTCTTGACCTATGTGATTGGTTTCGATTCTGTGGATGACGAGTCGAAGCCAGAGAATCCGCTCTTTGATAGCGATGTGCCACGACCCGAAGAATGGACATACGAGGATAATCCGCCGTATGCCTACTATATATACTATATGTATGCCAATATGACGGTGCTCAATAAATTTAGAAAGTGAGTAAATATTTCCTGATACATAAATCGATCTATATTTATCTTTAATCCCCCTCAACGCAAACACAGGCAGCGTGGAATGAACACATTTGTGCTGCGCCCCCATTGCGGCGAAGCTGGGCCAGTGCAGCATCTGGTCTGTGGCTTCTTGATGGCCGAGAACATTTCGCACGGTCTGCTGCTGCGCAAGGTGCCAGTGCTGCAGTATCTATACTATCTAACCCAGATAGGTATTGCCATGTCGCCGCTGTCGAATAATTCGCTGTTTCTCAACTATCATCGGAATCCGTTGCCCGAATATCTGGCTCGTGGACTAATTATCTCATTGTCCACCGATGATCCGCTACAGTTTCACTTTACCAAGGTAAGTGGAGTGACTATTTGAGTAATCAATATATCGTCAACTTGTTTCCCACATTTCTCTGGTGGTTTAGGAACCGCTTATGGAAGAGTACAGCATTGCGGCGCAGGTGTGGAAGCTCAGCTCCTGCGATATGTGCGAGCTGGCACGCAACAGCGTCATCATGAGCGGCTTTCCACATAACGTAAGTGAATTTCAAAAGGTTTCTATTTGAGAGTTTTAATGTATCCGTTTCGCAACAGATCAAGCAGCAATGGCTGGGACCCAACTACTTTGAGGATGGCATCAATGGCAACGATATAACTCGCACTAATGTGCCAGAGATACGCGTGGCCTATCGCTATGAGACCTTACTGGATGAGCTCTCAAATATATTCAAAGTGAATCAGACTTGCCACCTGAAGGAGTGCGAATAAAGCATCAACAGAGAAAAGGCAGTCGATTTATAAAATATCAAACAAAATTATATATGCAATTTAGATACTTGCTTCTTATATACATTTACATATATTTGTACCTATACACATTTGCGTACTTCGATGTGAATGTTTTTCTCAACTAATCAATTATATTACCCCGACAGACCAATATTCTACATACTTGCATGAGTAGATGTAACAAACGTATATACAGGGCGCATTGGCTGGCTGGCAGCAGAGATGACAGCAATTTGCAGCATCCATATAAATATCCATTTTAGGTAGATTCTTTGCTTTGAAATCGAAGTAGACGAAAATTAAATATATATTTTAAAAATTAAACTTATGTGAATTGTAAACTCTAAATAAACCAAGTTGCGAATTGCTAATAAATGTAAGCTATTTATTCCTTACAGAAACAGAAAACGCATTTGAATTTGCCGGCTAATTCAAATACCACTGGCGCCACCTAGCAAGCGTTCAGAAAGCGTTGTTTGTTCAACTGCACAGCGTTACCATAGCCTTTATCTTTTACTTGTTCACAACAGGTTTTTATTAATTACCATTATTTATGACAACAAAAAACGCTTACTCATATTTAAGTTTAGCCAATATTCTTCGGCATATCAACTTATTTCCATTTTTTAAAAAAAAAAAAAACCGGTACTTGCGAATACGCCCTGACACCTATCGATACTTTAGGCTGCACTTAAAATTCTAATATCGATATATCGATACACCATCAACAATACTCCTTAATACATATACATTTGTGTGTTATTGTGGCCGAGAGATTCTCCGCTGCAACTTGTCTTTGTTTTCCACAAAATTAAACATACGAAAAAACTGAACAAAAAAAAAATGATGCTGTCACAAAGCTGATAAAACGCACTAAATTGGCCGTGTCGAAAAAGACACCGAATTGCTAAGAAAACGTGAAAAGGGCTTTATTCACAGAGCGAAACAAGTCATCGCTCAACGCTCTGTCGACTCATACCTATGTGTGTGTGTATGTGTATGCATATGTATAGATATCTGTGTGCATAATGACCACCCAGCGAACGCATCGAAATGCCACCAGCGCGGTGGGGGGGAGTGTCGGCGATTCGGATTACGAGACGCTAATGCAGCGGTTGCACATTGGCGGCAACTATCAGCGCTCGCCCGGCGCCATTGAAAATTTTATGCACGATGCCCCACAGCAGCCGCAGCAACAACAACAACAACAACAACATCAGCAGCAGCAGCAGCAGCAGCAACAACCGCGCCTGCCCTGCAGCGAGGATTACAAATTGTATGAGCGCGGCAACATAATCGCCGCTTCGAAGTACGCAACCGCAACGCCTAAGCCCGGCATGGAACCCATCATGATGGGCAACGGCAATGGCGGCAGCAACAGTCAACAGTCACCGCTGATTTATGCGCCCACAGCTCAGGTGCTGGGGCAGCGCATTGTGCCGCAGAAGCACTCGCCGGTTTACGAGAATCTTGAGTTTTATGGCCAATTCGATACGAATCAGCGACGTGCACAGCCTCAGAGTCCCGCCAGTCGGCAGAGCGTCATGTTGAACGATTATCTGCTGATGCAGCCCATTGGAGGCGGCCGTTTTGCGCATACGCCCGTGCCGGAGGCGGCGCCCAAGCACAATCACAATCACACTCCCATCGAGGAGCTGTCCGCCGTGGCACCCATCTATGAAAATATTATACCGCATTCCGGACAGCGAGCACAGCCGCAGGCATCGCCGGCCACGGCCACCATGTATCAGCATACAGAGATGGCCACGCCCACGCCCATGCCCATGCCCATGCCGGCAGCCAACCAAATGGAGCTAAATGCCATGCTGTTCGCGTCGCCGCTGCATCAGCGCAGCAGCAGCAGCAACAGCTCTTCGACCGCCGCTGCTGCCGCCAGCCTAGGCTCACCCACGCAGCGCTATCGGAATCTGTCGCTGCCCAGCCACCTGAGCCCGTTGGGCTCGCCGGTGCCTCAGCCGCTGGCCAAGCTGCAGCTGCAGCAGCACACGCCCATCAAGCAGCAGGTGGGCATCAATGTGTCCGTCAATCCCAACTACATTGAGGACATCAATAGCTCCGACTATGTTTGCATGACCGCCAATCTGCACCGCAACAACAACAGCACCGCCAAGAGTCGCAGTCCCAACAATGGGCGACTCAATGCGGCCAGTCCGCAGCCGCCGTTGCCGCCGCCGCCGCTGGCAACGTCCACGTTGGCGACAGTGCAAACGACAACGGCAACTACGGCGGCCGCGGCGCAAATGCAGCCCCTTCAGCTGCGTGCCACGCCCATTGCAACAACAGCGCCACTTGCGGTGGCGACATCGCCAACGCCCTCGCAGAGCAGCACAGGTAGGCGACAAATTTTAACTATGCATATATGTACTTGACTAATTCTTATCAGCCTATTTTTTCGCGTCTTTGTTTCGTATTCGTGAACGTGCCGCAAGCAACTCTCTTTGTTTGCCAGGCTAGCTCTAAACTCTCTTTTACTCGAAAGTGAGAGCATTTTTTATTCATCATTTCTACTTTGTGCAGCATTCGTAAACTGTCGAGAGCGCGTTGAATTTTTTATAATTCTTCTTTGTGTCGCGTTCGTAAACGTTTTACTGGCTATGCAACTTATTATTTGATTTTAGTATCTATATAATGTATATCAACAATCAATTACTAATCCCTCTACTTTGCCCATTCCCAAAATGCTTTCACAGCCGCTTTGCGGCCCAAACGAGGTATGCGCTTCATCTTATTCATACACTCGCCCTTTAACCCGCCCCTCTAACTCTAACTGATGCACATACTAAATTTGTATTGTAACTCGCCCAAAACAGGTCTGACAAAGAATTTACTGCCGTATAGCGTGACACCGCCGCGTCCGGCTGGTCCGACAGAGGCGCAGCGCAAAATCGAGGAACTGACGCGCCAACTGGAGGAGGAGATCGAGCAGAGCGAGGAGCATGGCGAGTACTTCGGTACGTACTCCAAAGCCCATAACTAATTTGTGCCTATGTCGATAGAAACTGTGGCTAATGTGCAGCTAAAAATGATTGTTATTTTAATAATTCGATTATGGGTAGATGCCCTGTAAGAAGCTTTAGAGCTCTATAAATAACTTAAATGTTTTTCTAAGTTTAAGTTTCATACTAAAGTTCCGCTCATTTTGCAAGCTTAAGTGATTTTTTCGTAACCCTGTCAAACTGAGTGCAAACTTGAGTTGGGAGGAAACGGTTTGCGATTCTCCATTTAACCAAATAATTAAGCTTCAATTTGGTGTGCATCCATTTCAGGCATTTGTCACACCTGCGGCGAGAAGGTGAAGGGCGCCGGGCAGGCCTGCCAGGCGATGGGCAATTTATATCACACAAATTGCTTCATTTGCTGCTCCTGCGGACGGGCGTTGCGCGGCAAGGCCTTCTACAATGTGCACGGGCGTGTCTACTGCGAGGAGGACTACATGGTAAGTGCCAGAATTTTCTTCTATGCGATATCCAACTCACTTACTCCAGCTCTCTCTGTCTCGATCTCTCTTACAGTATTCGGGCTTTCAGCAAACAGCTGAAAAGTGCGCCATTTGTGGCCACCTGATCATGGAAATGGTGCGTACTCTGTCTCCCTCTCTCTCTCTCTCTCTATCTCTCTATCTCTCTCCTGCTCACGCTGTCTTTTGTGGGTTACAGATACTGCAGGCCATGGGCAAGTCATATCATCCGGGCTGCTTTCGCTGCTGCATCTGCAACGAGTGCCTCGACGGCGTGCCCTTCACCGTGGATGTGGATCACAAGATTTACTGCGTCAACGATTACCATCGCATGTTCGCGCCCAAATGCGCCAGCTGTGGCAAAGGTGCGCAAGAAAGAACGCCTATCTTCGGCACGCCGAAGTCTAAAAACACGTGTAGCTTAGAAATACTTGTATAGGAAAGCATTATATTGTTCCTATGGTAGCCATATGAAGTGGTTGTCTGATATGTTAAAAGAGTGAAGCTCTTTAATGCCGAGTTTAGTTTAGCTATCAATTTTATACCGATAATTGATATGGCAGCTATCTGATATGGTAGTCCGATGTGGAAAGGCTTTCGCCCAATTAAACTGGCAAATGTCCAGTGTGGATAAGATATCTCCAAAAACTAAAAAGTACTTTATATAAGAACTTTATTTCCGACCGATCAGTTATAAGGGCAGCTCTATGATGTGGTGGTCCGATCCGACGGATTCAATGGAACGTTTTTTTAACTGAGAAGCTAGTTTGCATTGAAGCAAACAGGCGAACCGACGGACATGGCTTTAGCAACTTGGCTGTTGATATTTTATTAAGACGATAGGCTTAAAACTGAGATACTAGTTCGCATAGAAACAGACGGAAGGACAGACGGACATGGCTGGATCGACTCCACAGCTAATATGCCTCCTCTATGCGCAAGACATTTCGTGTGAAAACTGAACTGTTTGTTTTTTATTTGCATCGCCTGCAGGCATTACGCCCGTCGAGGGCACCGATGAGACCGTGCGCGTTGTGTCCATGGACAAGGATTTCCATGTGGATTGCTATATATGCGAGGAGTGCGGCATGCAGCTGACCGATGAGCCGGACAAACGCTGCTATCCGCTGGATGGGCGACTGCTCTGCCGCGGCTGCCATCTGCAGCGTCTCGCATTGCAATCCTCGCCGCACACGCGCCACCAGGAGCCCGTCTGCGCCTCCTACCAGTATATGGGCTGAGCTGATGATGCCTCCCCCCTCATTCGACTGATGATATGCAATTGTACGCACAAAAAATAAATATACAATATACAATATATCCAAACAGAAAGGAAAACAAGACATTTCCATTTTTTCAAATAACCGATATATTCTCAAATAAACAAAAACTAAATTCCATAAATACAAACGTACAAAAGAAAAACCAGTTAAGAACACAGATTCCCCTCGACGGCGTTGTTGGCAGCCAGTGAAGAATACTTCATGTGTTGCGCCTCCCCCCCGCTGTAGATGACGGTTATTTAACCGCCCGCCCTGCCCACCATCGCGTTGATGGAGCCTAATGCATCAATATCTCCAGCTGCACCAGGCGATTGTTGGTGTCCGAGGGCATCCGATATGGGAGTGTGGCTGCCATATTGGTCAGAGCCTTGGCACGTCCACGTAAATGCATGAGGAGCTCCTCCTTGCCATCGCCAGCCTGGCCGGCGGTGTCATCCGGTGCGCTGGCGGCGGCAGCGACGCCGCTGCTGCTGCCACCACCAGAGCCGCCAGCGCTGGCCTTCACCTCCAGGTATTCCGCATAGATGAGATCCATGGCGGCCAGCAGCACATCGGGCAGCACCTTAATGATATCGGAACCCACCAGCTTCAGACTGCTAACGCATTCGTCCACC